TGACAATTTATTTATTTTATTAAGTCATTACATCTTTATAAAATCTTATAATATAAGAATTTTATTAATTAATTTTAATTTAATATATTAAATAAACTTATTTAATAATTAAAAAATATATTAAATTTTTTTTATTTAATATTAATATTAAGTAAAAAATATTAAAATAATATAAAATTTAGAACTAATCTTTATTCTTAATTATACTATTATTTAGCATTATTATATTTTTATTTTTTGATAAAACCTAATTTAAATTAAGTTATTATTAGCTATAAAAGAGTTACAAAAAGCCTTATTAATAAAAGTTAATAAATGCAATTAAATATAATATAGTTGAGATGTGGTAACTTAGTGAAGTAAATAGGTTGTCAACCCTCAAGTGGCAGATCTAGAGTTCAAATCTTAGTAATGGTAAAAATTTGCAATTCTTTCTGTATTATAGTTTACTGTCTTCTGTAATTAGTTAGAATAAGATACCTATAATTTGTATCATATTAGCATAACTAAAAGGTCTAAGTACTTGTACAATATTGTATAAAGAAATACAAACTAGTATTAGTTAGTATGAACTCAAGATAAGTTCTTAGGCTGTGTAAATCACAGAAACCAGATAAAAAGACAGAAGCTTACTTGAAAGACCTAAGTAAAAAGGTAATTTGAATCTTTGATAATACTACTATAAAAACTAGATTTATGAAATAGAGCTAAACTTGTAAAACTAAGCAAATGTGCTAGTCTTTGAGAAGAAACCAAATGAACTAATCAGGCTGTCAGAATTTCTGGGTTTCAGAGAAAAAGGATACATAGCAACAAACATGTAAATCAGAGGTGCATAGTTTCAATCTACCTTTCTAGGTTATCTGAAATGACAGCTTAGTGGAACTTGAATTAAATACCAAAATAATAAGGATATGTTGTGAAGTCAGTATCAGAGTTGGGTTAAATTCTACAAGGACATAGTGGTTTAATGATATGTCCTGACTACCAGTGTTGGTCTTAATCATAATAATATCAAGTCAGCTGTAAGAATAGAATACAGAAGATTCTAAAAGATTTAATACAAGGTCAAAGGTTCCAAAGAACTGCTTTAAAGACTTAATAATCATAGCATATTTTTATCAGCATTGGCTAGGGTCATTAGTAGGCAGAAGTAGCTTGGTGGATATGAAAACTAGAATAGTTAAATAAGGAACCTACAAGCAGATTCCAGATATAACAGCTAGTGTAGAACCTTTAGGCAGACTATTTAAATTAAACAATGACTAAAGTTGTATAAGTGACTAGTTGTGCACTCTTTCTATAGTTGCTCTCTGTAGTTGTAATATAACCATTAGCCAAATATACTATCAATAAAATCCTGAGTCACAAGTACTCAATATTTAAAAAAATATATATAATATAGTTTTTAAATAGATATTTTATAATACAATTGATAATATTAATATTAAAAAAAGTTTTTTTGTTAATTTGAAATAATAAGACTACAGATTGAGTTTTTTTAACTTTAGAAAAGATACTATAAAAAGCTTTCTATTTATATTATTTTTAATTTTAATTTTCCTGAATTGTTTACTATATTAACAAAAAAAATTAAAAAAAGAAATAAAAAAGTTGTTAGTTAATTTTTGAGAATTAGTTTAATAAAATTAAAAAAAGATTTAAAATTGTGTCTTGAATTAGAAGTAAAATTGTTTGAATTAAAAAGAATTAAAAAGTAATAAATTATGAAATGATTATTTTAAAAATTAACTATAAATTTTTATTTTTTAAATAAAACCAAATTAAATCAATTTATTTTTAAATTTTTATTTTAGATTTTAGACTGTTTATTTATATATATAATCTGAATCTTTTAGAAATAATTAAATAATATCAATATCTGTATTAAGTTATATAATCTAATAATAATAATAAAATAGTTTTAAATTATATGTAAAAATTCTATATCTAAGAAAGTGTTATTGATTGTTCTGTTAAATTAAAAAAATATATAAATTAAAAAATAAATATAGTTAAATCTCTTTATAATTACACTTTGTTTTAATAATTTAGTACTTTTAGAAAGTTTGTGCCAAATATAAAAGTTAGATCTTATAAGTATTATATAAGCTAGTTTTAAAATTTTATATAATTATAAGCAAATGTAACTATAGAAAAGATTACTTATAGAAAAGTTTAAGTATACTAATATCTTTTAAAATAAATATTATAATTTTTTATATAAATAATTAATAAGTTTAATTTATTTATAGTTAAACCTCTTTTATAGTTACTTTTTTATAGTTACATTTTGCTTATAATCACATAAAATTTTAAAACCAGCTTATATAATACTTATAAAATTTAATCTTTATATAAGCACAAACACTCTATAAGCACTAAATTATTAAAACCAAAGGTATAATTCAGAGGGTTGACTGTATATTGTTTTTTATTTAAAAAATATATAATAAATTTATATTACTAAACATAAAATATTTTTTAGCAATATTATAACTTATATTCTTTTAAAATTGCAAAAAAATTGTAACCAAAATGATTGTCTAGATAATTTTAATAAATTTTTTGAAAGCAGTTTTTGAAAAAGTTCTAAATTTTTCTTTAAAGTTTAGAAAATTGCATAATAAATATAATAATATGTTCAAGATTTTTAGAAAGATTTTTTTAGAAATTGCAGTACATTAGTATGAAAAATAAAGTATTGCCACTGCAGATATTATTAGACCTCCATAAATGTATGCACTATATAAATAACTTGTTATCTCATAAAAGGTTTATACATTTACTTTTTAAAATACATACCTTCTCTAAATGCACATTTTATTTTTTTTTATTAATGTTGTGCATTCATAGAAGTCTAACTGTAAAAATGATAAAGCCTTTTTTGGAAAAAACTAAACATGATGTTTATATTAAACTTTAAACCAGAAAAGATTTCCTTCCCAAAGTGCACATCCTCTTTAGCCGCACTACGGCTTGACTCCAAGCTTGGAACTTAATGCAAAGCGCATCTTTTGTTTCTGAAAGTGTATAATATTTTACATTTGAATTTATACGTTTTTTCTGCATGCACATGATTAATGGAAAGTTTGACAAATTAAATCATGATCATGTCAGAGATTCTCAGATATATAGCCATCACATTATGAGAGCATTGCCACCGAAAAGGTTCAAAAATACTAATTATGTAATAAAAGCTGAAAAAAATGTTAATTCTATAAATGCGTGAACTTAGAGAGGTATCGTTTTAATGATATTTTCTAACGATAGAGAAAATAATTTGATAGTATTCTTAAATTATGATGTCGGCATCTAAATTTTACTGCCACTTGTAAAGTTTTTTTTATTCAAATTACTCTTGACATAGAGAACCACACTTTCAAACAAAATGATCGGTAGGAAAAAATAATATTGTCAGTATTGGTATTTATAATAGGCTGAATAATACTACTTTACAGAAACTTGGATTTCTTAATGCACAGTAACTGCATAGTAACTATATAGTAACTATATAGTTACTATTAAGCTTAATACATAGTAACTATATAGTTATCATATAGTTACTACGTAGTTACTGCACATTAAGAGATTTCAGGTTTCTGTATAGTATGCATGAAAAAAAATTCGGGGTATAGTTAAGTCATACTAGACGTAATTATATTTATATGATTTCTGCTTACATTAATATACTGTTTGGATTCAACAGAAAAAATGCACCAGAAATTATGAAATGTCTATTAATTTGATATTCTACGTTAATAAATAATATCAAAATGTCATTAATTACCTTTTATCAGACATAATTGACATCTAAATAAATTAAAAATAAATGAATAAATCAAATTCGTTAAATTTACCCCAATGATGAATTTTCTACAAGCTGATAACCCTAAAGATATGGTAATGATAGCTTACAGGTGATAAATGAACTCATAATTGGGCGCTGCTCAATAATCCATATACAGAAGGCGCTTGAATAAAATAATGTAAAAACAGAGACTCACATACTATCCTTTCCTTACCACACCAACAGTAGTGATGCAGTATGAAGAAAAGATGTTCAATTATTTCCTTGCAACTCTGGGCTCCCAAGATTTAGGTTCAAAGGTGCCACTAGGTATGGTTAATGGAATTTCTTGAGCTGGCTTTTTTTGAGCTGGTTTTTTTTAATAATTACAAATTGAATAATTTAAGAGACAATTGGATATAAGTATTTGAGAAAAAACACTACGTATAAAAACAAATGGCAAATTATTTTGCACCATATTGTATACGATAAAATTTAAATACAATACCATCTTGACCTTCAAAATCTGCTGATTTTGATTTATCAGTTACTTCTCGTGATAATTCTTCTTTGCGCTAAAAATTGAATGTGAATAAGAGTAAAGTCAGTAATCTTTTTTGAATCAGTTTTCACAATGAAATCCGGCAGGTAGACATAAATTTTATATGTGAAAGTTTTGTTTTAATAGCTTAAATTACACATATATGTTGTAAGTAGGAACGGAATTTAAGTGAATTTAGAATTTTTTAATAAACTTAGAACTTTAGGGTGAAATTTATTTATATAAACCTGTGCCCAATCCTAAATCTTAAGAATTCCAAATCCATTTAAATTCTGTTTTAACAACATATGATAGTCAACATTCTCCAATGAACCGATGGCCTGGAAACAATAAAGTTTGTAATATAAAATTATTGTATTTTCTTTTAAGAACTCATCGACTTTATGCAAGTGTCCATTATGGAGAGTGTCTATTGTATTCACTACATATATGTAGACAAAAAATTCTGCATATATATGATATAAAAGTCTTCAGCTATACGAAGGATCGTCCTGAAAACTATAGAAGCAAACTGATAAAGTTTATATGACTTGATCTGTGTCATTCTCCGATTTCATACCCGTTCCCAATCCTTATCCAAAGCTTTTGCTCTTTGAATGATTAATTCTCTTCGTTTGTTAGCCATAATAATTTCCTTAAAAATGCAACATAATTAAACAATTAATATTAAACTTTGCTAAACTATTCAATGAAAATACCTCTATAGTAGGAGGTTCAAATCTTGTATGTCTTAACCAACTTTGCCATTGCACTTTGTGAGAAAATGATTTTCAAATTATAGAATTGAATGAGCATTTCAACTTAATTAATAGTTAATTTTTAGGACAGACTTTAATCCTATCATATACCAGGCAAAGAATCGCTATTATATTCTCCAAGAGGCTTCTTTTCCTTCATTTCGACCGTCCGTTTTTTTCGACCATTAATAAGACGATAACTTTCATAATAATCGTTTCCAGATAAATCTGAACCTACGAATGCTTGTTGACGCCAAGGGAAACGTGTTTGTTTCCATATTTTTAATAATCGTGATAAATACGAATTTGCTGATGACATTTTGCTATCAATGCGGACAGTCTTGTTATCGATCTCAAATCGCAACTATATTAATATATTATGTGATCACGTGAAAGAATATCTCAAATTAACCAATAAAATTACATAGTTTTAAACGCTAAGAAACAAAAAAAACTTCATATGTAGCAAAAAGTTAGTCTCATATATGTAAAGGATAGGTAAGCACCCCGGAAAGTGGTAAAGATGATATTTATTATTAATAAAGCCAAACTTATTAATGTGATAGATTTCAATCTGTAACTAAAACATAATACCAAAACATGTTACAAGAGCTGAATATATTCAAGTACTAAACTCAAATCTTCTATTCTAAACTTAGTTATATTCAAATTAGATATTTAGTAATGAAAGTTTAAATTTATAAGGCGATTTTAACAACAACGCGTCTAGTTACTTCATTTTACAGTATATTAATATGGTCCAATAAACGGTAGGCAAGTCATTTTTTGCTATCTACTTGAGTTAATGTTATAAGGTCTTTAGGTATGGTAAATTTGCAGGTTTTTGTTGAGTGAGAGAATAGTGAGCACCCTTTGTATTATGTTAATTAGTTGTTTTCTTTGTTATGTTTCCAGTAGGTAATGGTAGTGTTTTGGTTATTTGTTTTGGTAATTTTGTCAATTGTTATTTGTAATGTAAAGGTAATTATCTATTTTGACTTAGTGGCTATTATTGAAAATATAGTAAATAGGTTGGGTTTTATAAGTAGTCTATGCAGGTTTTTAGCTGCAGCAATTGTGTTAGTTATTGTTGTAAACTATTTGGATTTTCTGTCTTTTAGTATTTTTTATATATTATAATAAAAAGTTTTCTAGATAAGTGTTTGATCATTATAATAGTTACAGAATTGTTCAATAGCTTGAATGTTGTGATTGTTAAGTTTTTTTTATTTGATATGTGTAAGACATATTAGTAAGTATAAGATTTATAGAGTTGACTAAATGGACTTTTGAAATTGGTTATGAGTTACATTATTTATAATCTGTATTTGTAGTTTATATAAACTAAAAACCATTCTTGCTATTAGTGTACTGTAATAAGATATTAAAAACACAAGTGTATTAAGCAGTATCAATATATTGCAGTTTGCTGCATTTTGAAGTTGTTAAAGTTTTATAGTAAGTGTTGATTGATTAAGGTTAGGATGATTAATGACTTTGATAAAATTAAAAATATGTTGTTGGTTTTGAATGTTGTATACTTGGTAAAATGTGTATATTTGATAATAGTAAAGAGTAGAATGCAAAATGTATCTAGAAAACATTGTTTTGCTTTTAGAAATACTGGTATATTGATTTGTAATTGTTTTACATTGTTGTTCTATAATATATATGTTCTGTATATAGTATGCAAAGCAAGTAATTATGACTGTATTTATAATATAGATTATCTGTTTTTTTGTGATTTTTGTATGTTTTAGTTTGTATAATACAAGGTTAATTATATTTGTTATTGTGTAATAAATGTGTTTATAATATTTAAGATATATAAAATAGCATTCTAAAAATTTGAAAGTTGTTTTTGAGTTTATATTGTTTATTTGTTAACCATTAAAGGTAATATATTTGTCAAGTTTAGATGTATTTGTAACTAATATTAACTTGCAGTTTTTCTATTATCACAGTGATAATAGAAGCTGTTCAACTATAGTATAATAACTATAATTTGACAGATTTTATACAAAGTTTATAGTAAGACTCAACAATATATAGGATAATTAGGTATTTTAAGGCAAAAATAACAATAAATAGTATATAAAGATACTAAATATTACATTTAGTTTATTTATTATAAAATGTATGAAGACACTTCTTAAATGTATAAAAACATTTTTTAAATATATGAAGACACTTTTTAAATGTATAAAGATACTTATGTGAAGTGTAAAAATACTTAACTTTCTTGAAAAATTAAAAAGCAATGCTTTTATAGATATTTTATATATATAAATAATTACAATAAAGATTAGTTTATTGCTAATAAATACTATACATAATAATATTAAGATATATAAGAACTAATAAATATAATAAATATAATATATATAATATATATAATATATATAAAAAATATAATAGATATAATAAAAATAATAGATATAATAAATATGTAATATTTGTTAGATATGTTAGATATATTAGATCTAATAGAACTGTTATAAATATTAAATTTCTGACACAGTAATAAAAGTTAGTTAGAATCAAGTCATGTGTACTAGAATTAGTGTTTTTATCAAAATCATCCTGATCTTATAATACTATAATCAAAATCATATAATCTTATGCTTATTAGAACTATCTTAATAAGTTAAATCTAATAGTGATTGTTTCATCAAATTTAGTTTAATACATCAAAAGTTATAATTAAAATATATAAAACTCTTAATATTAATATTAGAATTAATTTATATAAGTTAACAATTATATTAGCTATTTTGTAAAATAAGACAGCAGTTTTAATAATTTTCTTATAATTACTGTTTATTTTATGCAATTCAAGTAGTGTTATTCATGTAGACTAGGCAGCTGATCTTGTTGTGATATGTTTTGTTAGTTGGCATAATAGTCTGTAGTTTATATCTTTTATGTTGCTTAGCAATTCTTGGTCAAGTTTGTTATATACAAGATAAGGGTTAATAGTTTTAAAGTTTGTTAGAACAGTGTTTATTCTTTTAATAAAGATATTAGTAATGAGATTGATGATTTTTGTAGATATAAATAATTAGACTAACATTTTGTTAAGTAGTAATATATGTACAGAGCTATAAGCTTTAAATTATCTTGGAATAGAATTTAGATCTTTTGTTTTCAGTAGTTGTATCTTCTAATATATATGTAAGTATTTGAATAGATTGTATAGTTGAGTTAAAAGATAAAGCTACATAGTTATAAGATAAAAGAATAAGATGTCTGCACATTATATTATTAAGTCAGTTAGTTATTATTTTAGTAAATATTTTGTATGAATGTTTAAAAAGAATAATAAGCCAAGTATGATCAAGTTATTCTGTGAAAGTATGTTTTTTAGATATAGAGTAGATAGTTGTTTTTTTTATTAAGTTAATATTTTCTAGTAATAGAAATGTATTAAATATCTAAAAAAGAATTTGCTTTGCTATTGAACTAAGATGTTTAAGCATTTTATTAAAAATTACTTGTAGGTCTAATGTTTTGTTTAAAGATAACTTCTTTATTGTATTTTTTAGTTCTTTAATTGTAATAATGCTAGTTAGTGTAAAGTATCACTAAGGGTTTATTTTAGTAGTAAGACTATAAGTTAGCTTCCAGTTAGACCATTCTGTATTGTTAGGTGGATTTGTTTTTGTTTAGTTTTTGAAGTATGCTTATATATATTGTTTTATTTGTGTAGATGAAATAATTAAATTTTTTGCTTATTGTTGTAAAAAATTACAAAATTTGTGTATTTGTATAAAATGCTATTTATTATTTTTGTTGTATTGTTTGTAAAGTTAAAATGTCTTTTAAAATAGCTATTTGTATTTAATTTTACTAAGCTGCTTGATTTTTAATATTTTGAGCATTGTATAGAATGCTGCAAACTGTGTATAATTGGTCAATAGTATTGCTAAAATTTGTATAGTTTAAGCTATCTTTGTTAAGATTTACAATAGATAGATTTGTTAATATTTGTATTTTTTCTAATAGTTGATTAATTTGTGTAATAATTTGTTGCAGTAATGTAGATAGTTTAGTGGATATAACTATGTATAGGCTTTTGTTTATGTTTTTTAATGCTATGTAAAAGTTGTATTACTTCTTGGAAATACCAAATAGGTATAAGGTATAATTTTTGTTATTGGAATCATTTTATTAGCTGCTTTTTTTATTGCTATATTAAGTTTGTATTATTGCTTATTAAGAGTTTTAAAGCAAGATATCAGATTAGTTGGTATATTAGTTATATTTTTTGTATATAAGTTGACTTTTGTTTTAAATTTTTTTTACTTGTTTTTGTTTATTTGTTTGTATAAGTATATTGTTTTTTTTTTTTGTATCTTTTATGTCTGATTGTAAAATTAGTATTTCAGATTGTGTATATTATTTTATAATTACTTGTAAATTTAGTTGGTATTATTAAAGTTGATGTGTCAGTTTGATGTATAATATTAAATAATATTTATATATTATCAATTATCTAAAATATATATAAAAATACTAAGTTAAATAATAATTATATATTTTTTTTAATTTTAAAATAAGTACTTATAACTCAGATTTTTATTAATAGTATATTTTGGCTAGCAACTATGATATAACAATTACAAAAACAATTATAAAAAAAATATACAACTAGCTACTTATATAATTTTAGTGATTGTCTAATTTAAATAGTCTATCTAAAGGTTCTATACTAGTTGCTATATCTAGAACCTGTTTGCAAATCTTTTATTTAAATACTCTAGATCTTATATTCGATTATTTTACCAATAAACTCAGTAAATTAGTAAAAATATACTATAATTACTAAGTTATATTTAACTTTGTACTAAACTCACTAAAGCTTTTATATTCTATATTTATAGCTAATTTAGTATTGTTTTAGCTAAATTAGTACTTGCAATCAAAGCTAATCATTAAATTACTATATTCTTATAAAATTTATTCAAATATCAGTTTCTATTATTGTGTTTAGTTAACTGCAACTCTGTCATTCCACAATTTAAAATATTATATAATGTATGATAAGTAATCTTTTTAAAAGAGAGTATTAGATTTGGTTAGTAGGTGATTAAAGCTTTCAGTTACTTTAAGTTAACAAATACAAATAAGATAAGTTATATGAACAAAAACTTGAATGAATGATAATGTTTATAAAAGTTTACAGAGTTTATGCTAGGTATAATATTAGAGTTTTCTTATAGATAATACAATATATTTGAAACTTATTATTTTTAATAAAGTTAATAAAATATACTGCTCTAAAGAGCTATTTCAGTCTTTATTTATATTATCTTTTTA